GGGGGGGGCGTTGAAGGTGCTTTCTTGTAACGCCACCTGATGCGCTGGCTAGGTGGGCAGATAGACAGCCTGGCAAGGATGCAACTAGACTATGGGGTAAGGACAGTATGTGCGGTGATGCGGTTGGTCTCTGTCCACACGTAGGATGCTTTGGCTTGCAGCTCTACCCGGAGAGAACCGTTGCTTTCTCTCATAAAATATCGCGTCTCTGCTCTCATGGATTGGATCACCTCTAGAGTGAGGGGAAAGCCGACAGAGGCTTAACATTGACACTGGAGGAGAGAGGGCCATCGGGCGACCGAGGTTGCATCGGCCGCCACCAGGGTTGTTGCATGGGGGAAGTAGTAGGTCTGGTGGCTGACGTAGTGATGCGATGCGAACTAGATTCTAGGACGCCTTTTATTGAATGAGTCAACGATTTGCGGATTTCTTGAATTCAGTTGCAAAACGAAAAGGAGATGAGAGTCTTGGCAGCGTAAGAGCAATTGCCAGGGAAGAGCCCGTTTGAGCAAATGTCGAAGCTGAGACTGCATTTGAAGCCGGCGCCATTTTCCGGATCGAGTCCATGATGACAGGGCTGGCGTATTGCTTATAGGTCTGTGTACCAGTAGTATGACTTGCGAGAGCGGTATTTCGGGATTGAGCGAGTTTGTAGCAATGACTGACAATTATTGTACAATGGGAAGCAGGGTATCAATGGCAAGGTCGCGGGCTGAGACATGTCAGCTCCGCTTTGAGGCAAGCCGGTTAATAAGTCGTCGTCCTCGTGCTGTGAACTCGTCATCGCAGAGAGACCCGCTTGGCTGGGAGTGAGAAACAGACTGCATGGCCGGGAGAAGGGAAAGCCGTGCGGAACACCTCGCTGATCGAAAGAAGCTTTTTTGGGGGGTCGGAGTCGGGGGCCACGACGGCCACGAGAGAGGAGCTTATTTGCCAACCCAAGCCCGAGCGAGATTCGCTTTTTTCCGCGTTCCCCACAGTTGGGCTTCCATCAGGAAAGTCGTTGGGACAATGGAGACTTTGAGAAAAGTGGCTGGCGAGCAAGAAACGCAATTGCAATACAAAAAATAAAGGAAAGGAAAAAACGGATGGCTGGTAAAGAAAAGGACATACATGGGCAAATTGACAATGGCAATCCGAGCAGTGTGGCAAAACCGCGGACTGAGGGGCTCGGGCTGGGTACTGCAGATGCCTGATGCAAGTCCATATCAGGCAAAGGGAAGGACCCTTGTTCATCAAGAGTACAAGCACGATCAAGGCGACAAGCACTCCAGAAATTCCCTGTGAGTATCCGTAGTCCAGTGACTTTTCTGGGCAGGCCTTGCTGCTTCATCGTGGTGGAGATGGTGGGGGAGAGGTTCTGTAGAATGCACCAGAAGAAGGTCACTGGGCCAGCTGATGCCAATGGGCATGAACCTTGTTTGCCCTGGAAGATTGTTGTTACCTGGACGTCCTTTTTTCTTGGTTGATGGTTACCACTTGGTTGGGCTGCTAGATTGGTGATGCGAGATGCAGCGGCGCTGTGCCTTCTGTTCCATAGTGGGAGGGGTGAGAAATGGAAAATGCGGCTCGGCGGGTGGAGGGGCTGTTGAATCGATCAGTTGTGGTGCCATAAAAAGTCGAGTTTAGATAGGAAGAAGGAGATACGTAATAGGGTCCAGTCAAAAAGAGCCGGTTCTTTGTTCCATGGCTTGCGTAGCTTCAATTTTTTTCCTTTTTCTTCCCTTTTTCCTTCATCTTTCTGTTGACCAGCATGCGATGTTGGGCAGCAGAGACACACAAACGGGAAGACATGACTAGGCAACCCCCGGTTCCACATTGGGCGATGGGGGTAGGGATGGACGCGAGTGACTGACTGACGGGCTCATTGGATCGACATGCGAAGGCAGGACTGCCATTGGCCGATGGTCGCGTTGATGCATAAACGGCGAGAATGAAGAAGAAAGAATTCGAGGTGAATGTATAAATATAATAAAAAGTATGGGTCCTGATAAATGGACAGCACTATCGAGCTGGCATCGACTGCTGACGTAATGCAGCGATGGACGGTAGGAGGACAGGACAAGATGCGATCGGGTGTCGCGGGATTTTTTTGATTGCTTTACAGTAAATTACAGTCATTGATATTGCAACTCTCCGAGAGAGGTAACTGCTAGTGTTGCGGGCCTTCCTACTGGAAAACGTTAGTGACTTGGTAGAAGCAAGTTAAGGCGTATATAACGGGACGAGCCGTTGTCCGCCCACCGCAACGGCCACTAGCCGACGACACGGAGCCGAAAGTTTGCAGCTTCCCCTCATCTCTGGCTGAGTGACTGCAATTTCAATTTTTTACGGGTTTGTTCAAAGTTTTGCATTTTCGTATATTGAGCATGCTCGATGGAGAAGACATTGATCCAGTGGCTTGTCCGCGGCCTAATAAACTGTGTTGGGCAGGGCTGGATGGCTGGCTGGATGCAAAAGAGGGTCTCTCTCGCTCGCTGTCCCTCCCCCATATGCCGGGCGCCACAGCCTTGGGAAGTCCACCAGCGCAGTCAACCTGTCTTGTCTCTTTTTTCTGGTCAATTTTTTTCAGGTCGTTCATTTTCTGTTCTTCGGGTCGTTTTTTATTGGCGGACCCCCCCTGTCACTCCCCCATGCCATGTTTGCTGCGCTGGCATCTCTGCGCAGCCAATGCGCCAGAGTTACAGGTCTGTTCCTTGCACCTCGCCTTCACTCAAGCATTTTCCTCCGAGCCAAGCCTTTTCCCTCCCCTCCCACTCAATTAATTCTAGCCTGCACAGCGCAAGCACGGTCAATGTGTGTCTTGCACACCTGCAGGCTATTTACTCATGAGTTTCCTGTTGCTCTTGCCGTTGCTCGGGCACCTCGTCCATTCTCTTGACTGTGAATGGCTTGAACCACCACAAAAACTCGTTGACGGAATTCCAGGGGCAGTGCAAATGAAGCGCAAACAGGAACAGTACATGGCGTGCAGTTCTTGTCAAGCCATGACCGCAGGTTGCTCCGCTACCATGGCTCATGGGCCATGGCTGGCTGGCTGGCTCTCGGTCCTGGAAGCAAGCACCTCCTCTGTGACACAGGACAGTCCGCGATGTCAGCCCAAGAGGATACGTATACACTTACTTTGCTTCCATTTCCCTCTTTTTTTCTTTTAATACACAGGCAGATTTTTCCGCCATCTCCTATGTCGGCCCTGGTCATCGTCGTGCGCCCGCCATGACTGTTTTTTCCTCTCGTCCTTGAACACCAGAAAGCTCCTCTTACACGGATGGCCCCCTCGACGTTTCACGACAGCTGGCGAGGCGTACCCGGGCCGAGGCCGCCGTGCGAATCGTAGGATGAGGATGAAGAACTAAATATTTTTTATTTGTTGCGTGGTTGCAAATCTTGTTCTCTGGTTGCTGTGTGTCCGGCATCTAGCTGCAGTAGTGCCCGGGCCTGCATGAGCTTGTGCAGAGACATGCAGCAATCGAGGCATACGATGTGTACTTTTTTTGAGTCTTTGGGGTGGCGGCATTCCAAGTCAGCAACCACCAGTACCTGCTTCGACTACTGCCAAACGTCTTGCCTCCATGTACCTCGCCAACCGCCACCACCACCACCATCACTGACCTCGAGTGAATTGGGAAATACCGGCTGCCAGCTTCCTTGAGCAGCGCACGCTAACGTATCTTTACGATGGGTGAGTTGGCTGTCGACCTACCAGACTGCTGCTGGACCGTCATGGTCACCGGCATGTTACTGGTACATCTTTGCTGTTACGGTTGGTGGCCAGGTAACTGCGCCATCATTCACTGGTCATTCAGTGGCTCCAAGACGAGTACCAGAATGTCGTGCACCTGGCAACGGATCAGTAACTCTGCCCTCTGTGCCACCAAATTGCTGTCCTGTAGTCTGGAAATCTGGTTTGTCTGCCCATTTTCCATTCACGCATCAGGCCGCCCCTGGCTTGTAAATATAAGCATCATCATCCAACCCGTGCGCAGCTGGCTGCTCGATACTTGGTAGCGCTGATACCTGGGAGTGGTAATCTGGTGATATCTGTCTGCCTACCCAGCCGACTACCAGTTTGAAAGTACCATCTCTGACAGTTAATTAACACGACACAACACGATCTGGCTGGGCGGCTACACCGATACAACCGATACTCGTTGTTCTTATTGGCATCATCTACCTTACCCGTCTACCTTGTAGGTACCTAGTTGTCGACCTGAGAGAGGGAGGTACCTGCCGCTCGTCGCTGCTACCAGTACTTCAAGGACTTTGCCTAGCAACATTGTACAAGCCCAACCTAGCGCCGTTGCTGTCGTCGTGGTATCCCGTCTTATCCTCATTGCTGGTTGCCCTGCTCACTGCCATCTTCCATTCTCTTTTATTCTCTCGCGTCGCCTCTACTCCTCGTTTTTTTTCCTACCCTCCCCCTCTCTCCAACCACAAACCCTGCACCTCCGCTGCCCAGCTGGCCTCGTCTCGCCCGCTGGCTGGCCGTCTCCTGGTGCCCTTGTGTCTTCGTGCCCGACCCCACTCGCTGCCACGCCCACCCACTCTCTCTCTCTCTCTCAACCCGCTTTGCCCCAGCTCCTCGCTCCCTCACACGTCCCGTCCCTTCCCTTGCCTTTTTCCTCCCATTTACTACCTTTTTTCTTCCATCCATTTTTTTTTTATTTTGCCGCTATTCCTCTCCTGCCCTCTCGTCACCGCCCATCGTCCACCCTTTGCGATTTTGTCCTTTCCCAAACGCTTAATCGCTCGACCACCCTCTCTCAACCAACTCTTCATCGGTTTCGCTTCTCTTTTTGGATACTGCGTCTTGTTTGAATAATATCTATTATTCCTGCGCACAACACTCTCAACAAAACTTATCATCATAGTCGCTTCGCTCTATCTTACCGCTATCGACTGGGGAAACCGCTTTCTCCCCTCCCAGGCGCTGCCTGACCCTCAGCGTCTCGACGCTCAACCCTTTTTTTTCTCGCCATGGCTCCAGCTGAGCGCACCGGCTACGCGGCATACGTCGACGATGCCAACGAGGACACTGGCAGCTCCGTCGAGGGCACCAGGAAGTATGCCATCTACGACGACGAACTGCCCGCGGCCAAGAACCGACCCAATGTTGGCACTAGGATGGCTGGCTCTTCCAAACGTACCAGCCTGAACGAGTCCGACTCAGCCCCTTCCCACAGAGACCCAGATGCTCGCCGCGAGAGGACTCGTCCTGTTGACTCTCGCCGCGCCTCCCAGCAGTACGACAGTGATCGTGAGCGCGAGCACCAGCGCCTTCGCCAAGAGAGAAAGATTCGCGAGTCCGAGGCTCGTCGCTCTCACGGCCACTCACCCAAGGAATCCTCGAGGAAACCGAGGCCGACCGTCCAGCATGGTCCTCCCCTCTCTATGTCCCGAGGCGTCTCCGATGAGTACCCGCGCTACGGCTATCAGCAGCCCGCTACACCTGCTTCCCGCCCCCGCCCAGGTTCGAGGTCGGCCACCTACTATGACGGACAGCCATACCCGCCTCCACCACCTGGCGTGGGTTGGAATACTCCTCATTTCCCTCCCGGCTACTTCCCTCCCGGTCCTCCCGGCCCTCCTGGCCCAATGCTCGGTCGTCCCGGCCCTCATGGCCCTCTCATGCATTATCCTCATCCCATTCACGAAATGTCTCCTCGTGGTATGCCTCCGCCCTCACCTATGGGCATGGCTCCCCCTGGCTACTTTGCCGGTCCTCCACACCCCGGCTATAGCGACCATCTCAAAGCCAGGTTCGAAGCGAGACCTCCCTCTGCCATGGGCGCTTTGGGCGGCCCCGAGCGTATTCCTCCAGGTTACAGCCCGGATGAGTTCGGGGATGAGACTGCACCCAACGTCATGCGCCGGACCTCACGCCCGTCCAGGGGCGAAGGTGATCGTCGCGCGATGCCACCTCCAGAACGCATGCCCCAGCGCACCATGTCCGCTGCTCCTCAGCCCAGCGGTCCTTACCGTCCACCTCCTGTCCGCCCCAAGGTAAACCAGCATCCGCGGAGACCCTCCGTCAACAGGCATTCGGTCAACTTTGGCGATGACTACGACTACGATGAGTATGAGCCCGATAGTGAACTATTTCAAGACGTGTCTCCAGAGCCATCTTATCCCCAGAGGCGCTACGTGGAACCAGCGCGACCCAGGCGTGGCTCGCACATCTACGAAAATGTCGACATCATCCCAGCTGGCCGGCGTAATCGCAGGGCCTCCACCTATGGAGGGCCCCCACGCTCCGCCGCCCAGTATGCCGATTCCAAGATCCGAGATGCTCAAGATTATCAGGATGCTATCACTGGCGGGCCTAAGATGCCGCTCACCGCCGAGATGCTACAAAAGGCAACTCGGGGTAATACCGGCAGTCAATCCACGCGCAGTAGCGGCAGCCGTGATGATAGTGAGTATCGTCGCAGCTATACCACGGGCATCACACGCTCATCATCCGGTAACGGTCCAGAAGATGTCACCATTAAATTTGGCGAAGCCGAGTTCAAGGTGCGCGGTGCGGCAGATTTCACGTTCAGCTCTCGCGCTCAGTCGCAGCAGATTCGATCTGGTAGTGACAAGTCCAGCACTGTCTTCCAGCTTGAGGACACTCGCGACCAAGATCGAGAGCCACCGCGTATGACTCTCCCCCATCGAACCCGCGCACCAAGCCACTCGGAACATCGACCCCGTGGATACACGTCTGGAGCCTACTCGCCCTATGAGCACATGTACCCCGAAGGCAACGGCTACAGGATCTAATGGCACTGGCTGAAACCCTATTGACGACTGACATTTACGACCATTTAATGACGACACGATATATTTTGCATCATGACAAATCATGAGCCTGGACTACAACAGATGAAGACATTTTACGACATGCGACCCTCAATTTCCCAATCTACCCGTTTTTCCTTTTCTTTTCTTTGGCAATCTTGCTCATTTATTCTCAGCGTTGTTTACTCCTGCTTGTACTCTGTTGTCCTTGTTTTGCTAGGCGGCCTGGTTGATGCCGTGCCCGGCGAAGCAGATATGATACCCATACCTAATTACCGAGGACGTTATTCGGAGTGTATAATGGAGCATGGCAGTTGTTTCTCTAGATTGTTGAATCTAGAGTTCTGTTGTAGCGGCGGGCCTTGCCTGCCGCTTCTCATTTCTCTTTTCTGTTAATTTCCTACTTGTACTGGCCATGTGGTGCTTGTTTTGTTCAGCAAGTCCTAGCGACGTCAGCTACACTGACGCTTGCGCCGGACTTATTATTTGTACAATGAGAGCTGGAATGGTTGCACAGCCTTACCCTGTGCGAGGCAGTCGCTTCTGATCCAGACTGTGTTGAACACATGCTTTCATTTGTGTTTTGCTGAAACAGCACATCGCCATGTTATAGACTGTACAGGCGGACGAGGTTCGCGCCTCTTTACCGTGTGCCTGCAGAGATGATGGCTGGCTTCGACCGGTACTATCATTTTGAGGGTATTTCTTTGGTTCTTTTCTCTGTGTGCTACGGGTTAGACAAATGCTTTTTTTATCTACTGTTCCTCTTTCCTTTCCTTGGTACACGATTTTCCTTGGTTCGAAAAAGGTTTCGGCATACTACGGCAAAAAGATTGGGGCGATATGAGCGATGGAACTATGACAAATGACAGCAATAAGACTGATAATGTTCTGTGTGTCAAGGCATTGTGAAGTTGGGCCTGAAGTGACTTGCGACGTTGTTTGCCTAATTTGGGTGGTGAGGAGTGGTTGCCTGGCCAGAACTGAGATCCACCCCGTGGTTTGTTTACTTTGAGCGTCATCAAGGCGTTGGCTGGATGAGGAGATGATGCGTCAACGACGAGATGCAGAACAACAATGAAGACAATTTAAAACTCGTATTACATGCACGCAATTTCATCAGCTCTCGTAATTGCGCATTCTGGGGCATATTCACACGGCTGGTGAATCGTTGGGAGTTGCGCATGTGTATGGCAGCCCAACCTCGTTACCAGGCAGTGCCACCGCCCAGCCACCCCAGTTGGTTTCTGTAGGAACACTACCATATTCGCTGCCAGGCTTTTCCTGCTCCCGCACTCCCCATTCTTGCATCACTCTACTTAGCTGTCAATGCTGACTGTCTTTGATATTTGAAGCAAATCAATCAACCGACGCTTCGTTTTCTCATTCCGGTCACGCAGCGTTCTTTTTTCCATTTTGCCTCTCTGACCTGTGGATCAGCTTTCGTTCGCCCGCAGGTTCAGACACTGCATTCCTCGTCCCTGAATAACCTTCTTCTTTGAGCCTGCAAGCAACGGCCTGCATTCCACGATACATCTCGAACCATCCGTCCTTTATTCCCCGATCGGAAAGGGTATTGATCGACTACAACTAGAACGCGGACCTGAAGCGAGTTCAAAGGGGAGAGTCAGTATGGCACCGGTTCTCACGCCGCTGCTGCGACGGGCGTTTGCAGCCATCAGCGCCGCTCCCGTGCCCTCGGCAACCATCTCCAACGACGGTGCGCTTGACGGCCCTCTGGGGGATGCGACGCGCATGCACGCCGCGCGGGATACGGCCACCCCCAATCCTACTCACGACCCATCCTCTGGCGTGCTGGACCCGCACGATATATCCAACGCCGGCTTCTTTGCGTTGTTTGCGCTGCTCGGGGTCGCGTTTGTGGTCGCCGGCATCTGGTTCTTCTTCTGGGCGCGCAACGGCGGCTTCCACTTCAAGGAGAACGACTGGGAGGATTACAAGACGGCAGTGTTGCGGCGTCGGGGCCCGAACGGGACGCTGCTGTCTGGGGCAACGGAGTCGACGGATCTCGGGGGTGGCAGCGTGTACAAGGACGTGGCGGAGGATGACGGCAGGACGACGATTACCGACAGCACGGGACTGAGCGGCATCACGGCCGGGGCGAGCGACATTGCCGCACGGGAGAAGAGGGAGGAGAAACGACGTAAGAGACAGAAGGAGCGGGAGCAGCGGAAGAAGAGCAAGAATCAGAGCGAGGTGAGCGGTGACGGCGAGTATGACGAGAAGAAGAACAAGCGAAGGGTCGGCGGGGACGGCGAGGTGCAGGACGAGGAGGCAGAGATGAAGGCAAGGGACGAGTTGCGAAACTACCGCCACGAAAAGGCGGCAAGGGTGGGTGGGCTGAATAAGGAGACGGAGGGGTCCTCATGGGACGGGTCGAACCCGACAACCAGCCACACGGGCACGGAGTCAGAACTGTTGCCGAACAAGCAGAGCACGCCGACGAACACGCCGACCAAGGACAAGAAGCGTGGGGGTATTCGCAAGGTGTACTCGACGGCTGATCGCAACGCAGATCGCGAGGCGCGCCGGATGCGGGACGACGGACGCACGCACCGCCGGGACTTTTCGTTCCAGCGAGCGGAGCCGACGGACAGCTTGCTGTCGGGGCAGGCGGGGAGCAGCGATGTGACAGGTTCTCAGCAGAGCAGTGACTTGGGCACGAAGAGCTACCACCACCCGCGGCCGGAGATTGCGCGGGCACAGAGGGAGAGGGAGAGGGAGGAAAGGAGGGTTCGCCGAGGGGGCTATAGGCGTGGACGGGGCGATGATGAGCTCTAGGGGATGCTGCGATTGACGCAGTTGCGGACAAGCTCAAGGGTATCACGACCACTAAAATGATGCATTTTGAACCGGCTACGGATGTTTGCAGGATCGATGAGATTGATAACCAGATTGATACATGTAGATTAGCACCGGACACTACAATGTCTGAATTGATTCCTTATTTGACTAGAGTGCTCTGATCGGTGACAGCTTGGATGCGAATACGTACTTGAAAAGGGGAGCTATAATTGAATTGATTTATCACACGACAGCATCGATCTCTGACAGGTGGCTTGGGCGCACAATCTGTTACACGGGGTGCTTCAAGAGGAAGAGGTGGGATATTAGGGACCAGGGGAGTTGTTTGGACTATGCTTGGGTTTATCTATCGAATTTGAGGCGGAAACTTCGATTCCGCTGTGATCTTGATAATGGCTTTTGTGCGGCTTGTCGATAGTTGACATTGGCTTTGTGAGGTCTAGTGATGGCGGTCTTATTTGCGTGGGAGCCGCCGACGGAAGCGTTGGGAGAAGTGCCCCACTTCGAATCGGGGTCCCCTATAACCATAATAAGACGTCGCATTCCTAAAAGCCCGTCCGAGACCCAGCGATTCTGCCCTATGGCCGATTGCGGCGATGCACGATGTATAAAAATGTTCAAAGGCATTGTTGCCCTACAGGTTCGTTCTCTTCTTTTGTTTCTTTTATCATTCCTCTTTCTGCTCAACTTTCCAAGTAATATGTCATATCGGCATTTGCTACCACGGGATGTATGGCGGCGCCTGCCCTATGACGATTCCCATTCCGCCCCGATTGCGCCCGCTCTCGATATAAGCCCAGTCAGTGTGGGGCTGTGGGATGGATAACAGGCCATAACTACTGTACCAGAGAGCCCAGCTTTCTGGCAGATGGAGAACGGGAATCCAGCGCTTGTTGGGAAACTACTTGAATTCCAGGGCCGTCTTTGTTGAACAAGAAGACGACCACAATGTCTCACCGCACAAGAAGTAAGGTCGGTCAGGATCGCCCTCAGCTTGTGCTGATAAGAGTTTTGCAGCGTCCCATGTGCAGGTGGTTGTATCAGCAGCGCCACTGTTGCCCCGCCCCCCAAGGTTGCGAGTCTGCGACTGAGCCACTCTCTCTGCAGGCTCGCTGTCCGCCCGCTGTAGCTGCCTGTCTTCAGCGCCTGCTGTCTGCCGTCATCTCCACTCTCTCGATCCTCTTGCTGCATTTTGGTACACACGTCGTCGTATCTTGGAACCGCCACGTCGACTTGAGCAAAGCAACCCCAAAAGGAAAAAAATAAAAATAGGCATTTTTAACTCGTATTTCGTATGGCGAAGCACATTCTGCATTTTCTAGTCCTTGCATACCACATTTTGGCGGTAGCTTCCAATCTTTGACCACCCCCGTTGCGGCGGCGGCTATCTCCACTAAGTACCTAACCCAGCTTTGCCCTGCCTGCCTTGGTGCTTGGTTCGCCCTCTCCGACGGCTTCCTTCTTCCCTCCAAAACAATCCCCATACCAAAATTGCCTTCGTCATTGCCTCCCATCCTCTTTTTCCTTATCCCTCGATACTTCTGTTCCCCTTTTTTCCTTTTTTTGTTTCGCATCCATCTCCATTTGCTTCACGACATTTCCCCTTTCAATTTCTCCCCCAAACCCTGCGACGACGACGGCCTTTGTTTCATTTTATCCCGCTCGACTCTTTCGCCACCACAGTTGCCCGCCGTCGCTTTCCTCTCTGCTCTCCTCCCCGCAAGCAGGACAACCCCATCACGTAACCTGCCCGCCGCCGCGCAACCCGAACGCACCGCCTGTCGATTTCCTCTCCTCCTCGACACTTTTCCCGCAGCGGCGGTGTTCGCCCGTCTACTCGCACCTCGATACCACGATTTCCTCTTCCGAGCCCATTTAGCGCCCTCGACTTGGTTGCTGCCTCGCAAGACCCCCGTCACGCGCGCGGCTGCTCCAGCCCCCAGCCACCAAATCCCCCAACGACCCGACTTCACGGGCCGCCGCATCAAAACCCGCCATGTCGGATCCCTCGTCGGCCCTCACGGGCGTCGTCATCGGCCTCGTCTCCTCCTTTGGCTCCATCCTCCTCATCGGCCTCGTCGTCTTCGTATTCTGGGCGTCCGGCTGCGCCGGCTCAGGCCGCATCCTGCTCGACCGCCTCGGCCGTCCCGGCGAGTACGATGACGAGCAGGCCTTTCTGCGCGAGGAGGAGGAGGCACTGGAGACGATGGACGAGATGGCTCGTACAGACTATCTGAGAGCAAAAGGTGCGTTTCATTGATGGACAACACTCTACTGAGCCGAAACTAACCAAGCGATGCCGCGCACAGCTTTCGTCACCGCCAACCCTCCCGAATCCCTCCAGACCGACATCTCCCTCTCACAATACCTCGCCATCCAGGAAAAGGGTGTCTCCGCCTGGGAATTCGAGCCCGAGCTGGAAATCGCAAATTGCTTCGTCGAAGCCCGCACCGAAATCGAGTTTTACGACTCCGAATGTACTGTCATGTGCAATTTGCCTGTCCCGAAACAAAACGACGTCTACTATTGGGAAGCCAAGATTTACGAAAAGCCCGAATCTACCCTTCTTGGCATTGGCATGGCCACCAAGCCCTACCCGCTCTTCCGTCTGCCAGGTATGCCGTATTTGCCTGGCCCTTGAAAGTCTCCTTCGCTAACTGATCAGGCTATCATAAATACTCGGTTGCTTACCACTCCAACGGCTCGCGCCACTACAACCAGCCCTTCAGCCAAATTCCCTACGGCCCCCGACTCGTCCAGGGCGATGTTGTAGGCGTTGGATACCGACCCCGGACAGGTGCCATCTTCTTTACTCGCAACGGCAAGAAGCTCGAGGAGGTCGTGCACGGCCTCAAGTCGCAAAACTTCTTCCCTGCTGTCGGCGCCAACGGACCGGCCATGGTCCATGTCAACCTCGGCCAGTCTGGCTTCGTTTTCATTGAGGCCAACGTCAAGAAATGGGGTCTCGCCCCCGTCACCGGCAGCCTCGCCCCGCCACCCCCGTATGGTTCCGAGCAGGGCAGCATTCTTCTCGAGTCCGGCACCAAGGACGGTTATGCTCCACCCCAGGGACGTCGCCACGGTAATTCTTTCAGCGGTTCAGTTTACAATGTCCGGGGGCCACAGCCACCCGCCCACGCGCAACACGGTCGAACACGCAGCGGCAACTTTCGGATGCTTCCCACCAGTCCCGGCCCCGCGCGAAGCCCGACTGATATCTCCCTGGCGCAGCTTGTTCGCACTGATGAGGGCGGCGAGACCAGCAGCTCTGCGCAACAGCACCGGCGGGAGGAAGAACATCACAACGACAATCCGCTTCACTTGCACCTCTTGGACGCCACAAACCCACCACCCGATTACACGAGTCCCACCGGCTCCGATGCAGAAGGAAGTAGTCGCCGACAAAGCACGGATAGCGATGATACACCTCTGATTCAAGTCATGAACCGCAGCCGTGGCAACTCGGCTGCTGCACCCGGTACATTCATGAACGACCCCCCGGTGCCGAGCTATAGTGATGCGATCGAGCAAGGAGCTGGCCAGCACCGACGCGGTAGCTCCGACTCTGAGCGTTCCGCATCCGACTCAGCTGATGATGAATCAGAGTCCAGCTCCGACGACTCCACCAATACAGTGACACCTCTGACCCATAACCCTGCATCAGAAGCGTGATAACAAGACGAGACACGTGTGTTGAACGACATTTTTATGAATATACTATAGCATCAGATGCTGGCCGGCCTGTCACTATGCTTGAGGCATGCCGTCAGCGTCGGCATTCGGAGTTTTTTCTCTTTGTCAAGAGGAGTGAGCGGGAATTTTGTCTTTTCTTCTGCAAGCCCAATTGATCGCGAGACTGTTTTGGTTCCGTGGTATATCCTTTTTATCGTACTGGCGCTCGGGAGTTTATCAGCACACCCTTTTCTTTTTGTATAGCACGCGGAAACCTCTCACTCCTTATAATCGTCTGTCATCTTGGGATGTCGAAGCAAGGCCAGAAACACTGGTTAACCTTGAGCAAAATGGGACAGGAGAATGTGGACAAAGTCAACAGATACCATAATCATAGCAATGCACCCGTTATGTTTCTACTATATGCCAACTTACCACAACTATTAGAGTAGGGACTGCAAACATGCTCAAACCTCGATCGGCTTCAGCTCGTCCCGCGGCTTCATGCCGAAGAATCTCCTCGCGCCCTGGCTGCTCCTCTCGACCGCCTCGCCGACCCTCTGCACCATGGACCGCTCATACTGCGCCAGCGCCACCACCTGACCACCACCGCCGTGACCGTGCCCGCTCTCCTCCGTCAGCGCCCGGCACAGTTCCAGCGCGTCCTCGAACGCCGAGTTGGCGCCGACGCCCCCCACCGGCGGCATCGGATGCGCCGCGTCCCCGATCAGCGTCACCGGCACCTCCGCCCCAGCAGCAGCATCCCTCCGGAGCCGCTCCCAACTCCGCGGCAGCCCGTCCGCGGTGCACGAGAAGAAGGCGAGCGTCGCCGTGGACGAGTGATCCTCCTCCTCCTCCTCCTCCTCCTCCTCCTCCTCCCGGTCCCCACACCCGGTGACGGCGACGAGGGACTCGTACCAGCCGCGCATCACGGCGCGCGCGAGGTCCGCGGAGGCTTCGCCTGCGAGACCTAGTAGTGTGGGTAAACCGCCGGGGACGAGCGGGTTGGTGACGTCGCTGCGGGCGCAGAGGACCCAGTAGATGTAGTCCTCCGGGACGGCGACGGCGGCGGGGGCGGCGCGGTCGAAGCGCATGGCCTCGAAGAGGAGCTTGGTGGGGGGCTCGGAGTTGGGGAGGCTGGCGAGGCACATGCCGGAGAGGAAGGACGGGGGCAGTCGGGAGGTCAGCGAGGGTGTGAGGGGCGTCTTGCCAAAGACGGAGCGGCCCTCGGTGTCGACGAGTGGGAAACCGGGCAGGAGCTGTCGGCGGACGGCGGAGCGCGCGCCATCGGCGCCGATGAGCAGCGCGCCGCGCGCGACGGACCCGTCCTTGAAGCGTACCTCCACCCCACCACCGTCGGGCAGGACAGCGTAGCTGGCGAACGTCTTCCCGTAGGACATGTGGCTCCCTAGGCCCTGGAGGAGGACCTCCCGCAGCACCGCGCGGTCCGCGTTGAGCAGCTCTCCGGTGCCGCTGCCGCCGCCGGGTGGTGGGCCGCCGGGCATGAAGGCTTCGGGGTCGGGCTCCCCGGTGAGGGCGGAGATGGCGTGGCCGGGGAGGATGGGGACGCTGGCGGTGGCGACGAGGGAGGCGAGGATGGGGGGAGGGAGGAGGACGCGCAGGGCGGCGGTGGTGACGCGGATGCGGTAGCCCTGCGGGCGGGAGGAGGCGAGCGGGTCGCGCTCGAAGAGGCGGAAGGGGATGGAGGCGTTCAGGAGGCCCTGGGCGAGGGCGAGGCCGGCGAGGCCGCCGCCGACGATGAGGATGGGTGGTTGAGGGGGGGCGTGTGAGTCCATGTTGGACAGAGGGCCGATGATGCTGGAGAGGGAGTTGAGGTCGGTTCGTGGTTGTTTTAACCAAAAGTGTCACTGCGAAAGGAGCTCAATTTATACAAGTGCGTTGATGTGAAATGGTTCGGGTGCTTGGCGGCATGTTGAGGCGGTTCAGTGCTCGACTCCGGTGCCGAGTGGATGGGGCTTCGGTCCCGAGAGGGTCGGGCGGTCGACGGCAAGGCTGAAGGCGGGTCGGGTTTAACGAGGCTTGACAGTTATGGCTTCTTGGCTACTACGAGTAGATTTTGAGTCGCAAGTTATTTTTCGTAGCCTCGAAAGTATATTGTGTCTATCTGGAGCCAATGGTGCTATGCTTGGATACTAGGAAGGTAGAAGCAGGAGAGCACGCAGCAAAGTAGGCCCTACCATTACAAGCGAGACAATGGGATTGGATCTTTCATGTTTGTAAAATATGACCAAACATCTTCCATTTTCTGAATTTGACATTTTCGGTCAATGGTTCCTATTTGCCCTGCTTGCCGCATCCTTCGTAAGTATCTTTGCTGGCAGGGCATTTCCTACATGACCGGATGTAACCGGTGGTCAATAGTTCTACTATACTTGCAACATATCTGTTCATTTCCACACATGAAATCTGGCTCCTAGACATTGCGGCCTTTTTACATACAATGCGCATGCGCATAAGAACGACATAGCTAATGTTCATGACGACGCAGGACAACTGTCGGTCCTGCCCGGTGTCCCGCGACGTTTGGGGTGAATAAGCGCGCTAGTAGTGACAAGTACACATGTATGTACAGTACATACATAGGTATGTATGTATGGACATACATAGCTCTTTCGCAGTAAGCCTTGCGCACTACCAAGGTACCAGGTAAGGGAGCAAGGTACCTGCTAGTTACACGACCACCAACCTACGATCCGGGATTTTGGAAAACGTTGAAAATAAAGTTCAAATCTATACTATTCCTCTTAGGATCTTCTCTTGACTACATCACACTCGGGAGTCGGGACCAAGACGTTCATGCAGCAATCACAGCGCACGGCCCACAGTCTTGCAGAAGATTGAAGCATTGGAACCCTTCCATGACCACTGTGACACCTGAAGCCCCCTGTGCAAGCCCCCATGTGACCCCCTGTAACCCCCTTCAAGAACCTTAAATGGATCGACAGGAGGCGCCCAACAAGGCTACATCTCCCCTACAGTCACATGACAGCGCAAGCGAGCTTTCTGGGAGCATTAAGCCATCTCTTGCAAGTCTCTTGCCAGTCTCTTGCCATTGCTCTTTTCGTTTCTTTTTGAGTAACGCTCGAGCATTCGGATGCTATTACCACAAAGTCACTCCCGGCCATGGCTCAGCTGGCCAGCAAGACCCGGGACCGCGCCGTCGCGCTCGCCGCCGCCGCGCTGCTCTGCGAGCTCGTCACCCAGCGGCTGCGCTCCCGCGAGACGGAGCTGCCCTCTGAGGCGCTCGCCTGGGCCGTGCTACCCGTCTTGATGAGGGCGATGAACCGGAGGAGGCGGGACTGGGCAGAGATTGCGCCCCCGGCGGCGGCGGCGGCGAGCGCAGCGGCTGCAACCACGGCTAAGGGGTTCGGCGTGCCGCTCCTCGCGGTGGCCATCGCGGTGACGTCGCTCTGCAGGGCGGAAAGCGGCACCCCTCGCTTCTATGTAAGTTGGCGCTTCCCAATCAGATAGGTGCTTTCCTGCTCGAGTGATGCTTACAACGGAATGATATAGCCTGCGTTGGTCCCCATACTGCTGGTGGCGCAACGATATACGCAGGTGGATGCACCATATGCAGCGGATGCGACGCGGGGCAACGCACCAGGGCCCATCTTGACGTCCATTGGCGTCGCATGTATTATTGCCGGCGTTGCCGTTCTGGATCTCTTCATATGGAATCTAGAAAAGATCTTCTTTGCGAGCCTGGCGCTGACGGCGATTTCAGTCGCGTACATGGTCCTCCTACCTCACAAGCGGCGACAGAGCTGCATTCCAACCGTCAGGATCGAGGACAACATCCATCAGCTGTCCAAGACCGTGTATCGCCTTGTCCTCTTTGTACTCTTGCTCCAGACTCTAGTCTACGGCCTGCCTCCGCTCTCAGTTGTGAGATCTGTCAAGACTGCCGTCTTCAAGAGCCTGGCATGGTGTTTTGCCATACAGCTAGTGAGTCTAGCGAGCCTTCAAGTCGGCTCTGATGCGCTGACGCCTCTATGTAGACCCGAGATGCGCCATGGACAGCCCTCCCTCCCATCGGCGTCTTCACCCTCATGGCCGGACAAAGTCCATTCTTTCAGTCGTCTGCCCTTCGGCCCTTACTCCACATCTTGCTGTCGGGGCTCTCTCTCGGCCAGGTAATCGGCACACTTCCTTCCCGGGAAAAGTCGCGATCCGCGCTCTGGCTGTTCATGCTCGTGACCTTGATCCCCTACGGCGCCAACATATTTGCCATCCGGAGCGCCGAGAGCGCCGCACAACATACGTTTGGTGGAAATCGCGAGCATCCCGTCGACATCCTGATGCGTGGGGCCAACGCGCAATTCAGCGGTCTGCTGCATCGACAGTCGAAATCTTTGGGGGAGGCGCAAGCCGAGTACCGCCGGCGGTACAACATGGACCCTCCTCCGGGATTTGATGCCTGGTATGACTTTGCGGTTGCGAACCAGTCGCCCATCATTGACGAGTTTGACATGATCCACAAGCAAGTCTCGCCGTTTTTGAAGCTCAGCGGCGCCGAGCTACAGCGGATAATGGATGCCGTGTTCTATGCAGATGGAAGTGATGTTTGGATGTGCCAGTACACTCACAGCGAAAGCAGCGCTCGATGTACTCACCCGCATCGCTCATACGACCGACACATCTCCTACATGTTCGAAACTCTGGGCAGCTTTCCGGGCGCCGAACTGCCCGACCTCAAATTCTTGGTCAACCATCTTGACGAACCAACTGTCGTCCTACCACTCCATAAGACGGCGGAGATACGAGTTTCAGACCTGTCTCGCCAGCCAACTTGGAGGAACATCACGCGAAAGTGCGCGCCTCACCATGCCGCCCGCGAAAAGGACGAAAGAGAGTCGTACGCGCTACCTTTTATCAAGGACCCAGTTTCGGCCATGGACCTCTGCCGACATCCAGAGTACGAGCATCTGCACGGTCTCTTCACCAGCCCAGTCTCTTTCAAGCTCACCGAAGCCATGGTGCCCATCCTCTCCACCGGGGCACCCTCCACGATGGGCGACATCTTGATCCCCAGTCCGGCCTATCTGGAAGCCGAGTTTGAGTACGACTCAGCCTCGGAGCCAGACTTTGACCAAAAGACCAACAATCTGTACTGGGCGGGCTCGACCTCGGGCGCCCTTGCCCACGACGACGACGGGTGGCGATCCTACCACCGCCAGCGCTTCGTCCAGTTTGCGCAGAACCTCGGCCGCGAGCAGTACTACTACCTGCGCGCCGACTCTTCCACCTCCGACGCCGTCGAGCGCGTGCCCTCCTCCTTCCTCAACGGCCGCCTCTACGACGTGTCCTTCACGCGCATCTTCCAGTGCCTGCCGCGCGCCTGCCGCGCCCAGCGCGGCTTCTTCCCCCCCGGCGCGTGGGCGGACAAGGACGCGGCGCTGCGGTCGCGGCTGGCGTTCGACCTGGACGGCAACGGCATCAGCGGGCGGTACCGCAAGCTGCTGGCGTCGGGCAGCCTGCCGCTGAAGCAGACGCTGCTGCGCGAGTGGCACGACGAGCGGCTGCTGCCGTGGGTGCACTACGTGCCTGTCAGCATGAGCTTGGAGGAGCTGCCGGAGCTGGTCACGTACCTGACGTCGACGGCGGAGGGGCGGAGGAGGGCGGCGGAGATGGCGGCGGCGGGGAGGGACTGGCTCGGCAAGGCGATGAGGAGGGAGGACATGGTGGTGTACGTGTACAGGTTGATGCTGGAGCTGGCGCGGTTGCAGGATCCGAATCGGCAGCCCGAAGGGTAGTGCGAGCTTGCATAAGAGAGGGGCCATTCCCATCCTCTGTGACCGGCTCGTCCGCCTTCAGTAAAGCGGTCTGAAGCGAAGGGGATTGTCGTTGGGCCGCTCCAGCCTCGTGCCGCCCTTCATCTCTGCTCAGCAGGGAACGGGAGCAGCGTCGAGCTTCGTTGGAAACTTTCAGGACTCGGATCAGACACACGAGCCTCCACGGCGGGGCACGTACTGTATTGCATACGCGATGCATCTCCTTTGTCGGCTCGTCTGCTGGTACTGCTTGCGTCGGCGCCCGGCTGCGAGCCAATTGGCGGATTTGACGTCGATGACACGCAACAACTTTGTCCTACGTCGCGTTTGCAGCGTCCAATTACCTGATGCACGTGCCATTTTCCGATCCAATCTTGCTTCCAGGCGTCCACGGGACCGGGCGGTCGAGCTGCTCATCGACGGAGCCGCGCCGTTGCCGCCGTCTTTTCCGCTGCAACATTGGGACAATCTGGGACAGGGCAGGCCGGATGAGCATCTGGCCCGGCAATCTAGTGACGAAGCACTCTGTACATAGCATATTATAGACCCTTTGTGATATAGAACTCAGCGGCTTCTCTACTGCGTCTCCAGATTCCCTCTCGAAACAGCTGAGATAACGTGGTGCACGGAATGAACCAATCTTCTCCCGAGTTGAACTTGGCCTTTTTTGAGGCTTGTTGTCACGCAAGTCCAAGGCAGCATCATCGTAGTATTAGCATTATTGCTACATTTACCGGCCACAACACCATCTTCTTGATTTCGGAAGGGTGGGGTGGCCAGGGAGAAATCGGAGAGAGTAGCTACGTTGCGACCAAAGGACCACGTCTCCTACGGTATCGCAACCAAGCCTGACATTCCTCCAGCTATCCTCAGCTGTGCTGAGGTTTACTTCTAGACCGCGCCATTCCCGTCTCTGGCATCTTTTAGTATATTCAATTGTGTACAACGATGTGGAGGACGACTCGGGCTGGCCGTGAACAGTAGCATCGTGGCTGTAAACTCGTTTCGCCACAGGGAAATCTAGTGTCACAATAGTAAGTAGTCTATTAAAACTCGAGTATACATCTCTATTAAGCATTCTGCAGGTTGAGGAGGTTCAAATGTTTGTTGGTTCATCTTGGGTAATGCAAGTTGCTTCCGACGCCTCTGCTACGACATCGTCTCGGCCGCAGTCAGCCGGCTATGTTCTCGTAGTCTGAAAACCTGCCAGGCTTCGAGACTTTGCTTATCGGAGAGTGTGGTTCGGTCGAGGGGAGCAATGGGAGTCGAAGACGGGATGCAGCGTCGTCGGGGAGCCTGTTCGCCAACTGGAAGCGTTAGAAACTAGGTCAAGGTACTTCCGAGCTCTCGCGACGGTTTACGTCTTTCCTCTGGATGAGAACTTACGTATAGGCCGGGGGACATGCTCCTTGCAACTGGCCCGCCGCTCCCAGCCCCTAAAAGCCGACCACTTCACACGCAGTTTCATTGTGTTTGATAAAACCAAGCTTTCGAATGCATTCGTCCAACTCCAAGGTTAACCTTCAAGTATCCTGCCTACCCATCATCCACCTTTGAGCAGAGACATTTGTCTTCAGACCTGTTTCTGCCCAGTCAATACCGTTATAGTCACAGGCAGGTTAGGGCCAATGTTTGCCGACGTCCGGTGCATTTCCGGGCAACGGCATCCCGATGGATACGCTACAGCGTGGGGAATGCGTGGAATAGAGCAGTCAACTACTGTGCGGGTGCATAATAGAGCGTGATAAGCCCCTTTTCAGGAGTTGCCGCCGGACCTGTCATAATGGAAACGCTGGTTGGCCACCGTTAGGACAGCCACAGCGCGTAGAAAGGAACTATTTCTCAACCAACATGGTCTGATTCGAGTCTCATTTCTCATTTCCGAGTGACATTTACTAAAGCATCGAACTATCGGCTCTACCACTCCCCATCGGTGCCGACGCCGTCTCGAGACGGCTACATGCCATGGAACGAGCAACGCGGCCGTCAGCCAGCCCTCAGGCCCGTTTCTCCGCATCTCGTAAAACGCAACGTAACAAAAACAGAGGATCGTCTTTGCAGAAAAGCCCGAAACCGGCCCGGGAGACTTGCGTAAGCTCTGCCTCCTTGGTGCCATGCTCGTTCTTTACAACTTTCCAGCAACTTGGTTGCGATGCGACTTTGATCTGGCTCACGGGCCTTGCAGAATGTCTCAACATGCCCGCTACGCCCTTCGAGTCATGCTAACAAAAAAGCAACGTAAAATTCAATTGCATGATGAGCTATTGTTCCACCTATAAAAGTAGCTATTTTCGTCGTCTGTGCTGCTGTTCAGCTGTCAACGTCCTGTCGACGACAATATCCGCGCCGCGCTTTCGTATAAGTGAAATGAGCATTCTCAGCCAACTAGACGAAAACCCGTTTTAAAAATAGCATTCCAACGCCAAAAGAAGACAATTATATCTTCTTGCGGAAAATATGTCCACTGTCCAGCGCCAAGAATCGCGGAGCTGCCGTCTCTTCTTTCTTCTCTTCTCGCAAAATCTTCCAATAAAGTACTCAATCTGAAACAACCAAAAACGTTAACCAGGGTATATAAAAAGTCACGAACTCACGCCTTGGACGAATGGCAATGCACACGCCCCCCCATTTCCGCAAAGGGCAATGAAAAAGAGGTAAAAAAGAGGACGCGCGTACGTATGTCAGTGAGGCGCAGCTCGCTCAACCCTTCACGGTTGCCATCTCCATCCGCTCCATCGGCCGAGGCCCGCAGATGGGGGGGCTCCTCCCTTGGCCTGGCAGGGTTTTGGTTTAGTTAGTTGAATGTTCACGAACCCGTATTTTCCCATCCATGTCCATGCCGCGTGGCGTCGATATACTTTTTCGTTCCTTTCGCTAAACTCCTCCGAACCGGGGTAAGGGGGGGCGCGCGCCGTTGCTTCTTGTCCGGCCTTTCTGGGACGAATATTGGCGCTAAACCATTCCATGGATGGGGTCGCGGAGCCGGGAGTTTAAATCTTGGGTTTGGTGTGTTTCATCGTTCAACTTTCGACTAAGATCGCCGTTGGCCGCGAGCCTCGCTTGACGAAAAAGGCAGGCAGTAGGCTCGTACCATGTCAGACGGTTACGGCAGATTCAACGGCAGTCAAGCGGTGATAGAAAGGAAATGCAGGCAATTTAATACATTAGCGAAGAAGCATATCGTCGATGTAAACGGCGTAGCGCGGCTCGATTATCGCAGACATAGCTGCTACTATGGAGAGAGACCCAAAGTCATCAAATCATTTCTGGCTCGGTGCAGTCCGTCAAATAAACTCATTTTGGCTCGGCTTCGTAGCCCTAATCAAAAAGCAAATATTCCTAACAAACAATTTTTCCGGGTCCAAATCTCCAAATCAAATCAAATCAAATCAAGCCCATATTACAGTCCTAGTCCAAGTTGACTCTCGGTCAAATCAAAATCAAAATCAAAATCAATCAAAAACTCCCATCGCCTTGCTTCAAATCAAAATGCTGTGGGTCGCTGGCCCATGTATCTGATGTTTCCAAAGGAATGTGTATATCTATACCGATAGTCGTTACGGTGTCGTAAAAAAGGAGCGTCTAATGCTGGGTATCATTGGCGTATTAAGGAGGGTTGGATGAAATGCATCCTTGTGGGTATCGTAAGGAGTGTGGTCGAGATCAACTCGAAAGGAGTGTCATCGCGTGGTGGCATATCCGCGCGGTCGGTAATAAGCGAGTGGAAGGAGTGTGGTGTACATGGTTTGGTGCGTTGGAAAAAGAAAAGGCAAAAAAGGCAAAAAGGCGCGATAAAAAAACGTTCCAAGCTGAAAGTGAATCGGTCATACGGCTCGTCCTTTACCCTTAGGGTCCTGCTCAGGCACCAAAGGCGCTTGAGAAAGAGGTGAAGGCGGGTGCAGGGCAGACGAGACAGAGGTATTGTGGCGGTGACGGAAGTGGGCGGGTGAGCTGCTCGAAGGCATGGGAGACTCTGGGCGAGGCAGCATCGTCAACGTGTCCGGGTTGTACGTCGACATGTCACCAGCAAAAGCTGATGGCGCGTACATGGGCCTGCCGTCCTGATGTGGTGGATAAGGTGCGTTGCTGGCCAAGGAGGGGCTCGGGTTCCTGAGGTAGAAAGAAAAACGTCAATCCGAAATGGTCATTGCCGAGTTTTAGGGCGCCGGTGTGAAGGGCGATGGTACCTTAGATCCACACCGGTTGGTTGGGAGTGACGAACCCGACTCCGTAGTTGAGATGCGAATCGCCAAGCATGGGCGAGTGACCAGTATGAAAGTGGTGCAGGTCAAAGGACGAGTATTCCTCGGGGTCGCTGTAGGCAACGGAGCCCTCAAAGGTGGATGAGGCTGGAGAGTAGGCCACAAAGGAAGGCGACGGAACGTTGAGATAGTTTCCGGCGACGAAGGGAGAAGACATCATCATGGGGCTACCCTCGCCAGGCACAGAGACGGCGTTGTTGAGCATGGGCATTTCCTCTGTGCTGTAGCTAAACGCAGGGCTGTTGTAGATGTACGACCCGGTTCCGGCAGTCATGGCAACTTCCTCAGTATGAATGGGAAAGTTGGGAGGGTTGAACTGGGGGAACGAGCGGGTCCTCTCGGGGTTGACCCAGCCCATGCGAGAGCGGAATTCGCTGACCGTGTCAATGGGGAACTCCATCAGGGACAGGGGGGTGTGGGCGCTCCTGGGGGCAGCGGCAACGCTCAGGGACATGAGGCGACGGGCAATCTCCTCAACGGGCAGGATGGAGAGAGAACCAAAGTAGGCAGCGCCAATCTCGGGGAAGAGGCGTTCCATGAGGAGAGCAACAGTGTAGAGATGGGCAATGACAACAAGGGAGTTGGGAGAGGCGCTGTAGTTCTGTAGGTAGCCGACGGGCATCCAGAAAAGCCAGGTGCGGAGGGGCTGCAGACGCTCGTACTGCTGGGCAATGGAGAGGGCCGGGGTGATCTTGCGGGCTCCCTTGAGGAATCCAATGAGATGCTGAATCTGAGTAGTCTCTTCCCTGTGGTGGCGAAGATGGGCCTCGACCTTTTGAACCTGATCCAAAGTTCGCTGGAAAGCGTCAAGATCATCCTTGCGAGGCTGGCTGGGACGGTGCTCGGGATCGGGCGATGGGGGAGCAGTTGGGAAAGTGCAACTTTCAGCAATAAAGTCGGTGAAGAGGGACTCGTGTTTCCAGCCTTCCATAGCGTCAATAACGGTGGCAGTACCCTGCATGAGCTGCGTCCAGCTGCGCCAGTCGCTTGCCTGCCAGGAGAGAACAAGAGAGGCGGCGAGGATGGCATCCGAAGTATCGCGGCTAAAGGATCCAATGGCAGCGTGCAGGCCGCTCAATGCAATGCCTCGATGCTCAAAAGCCATGCTGCTGACGCGACGGCAGTCGGTAAGGAAGGCGATATGCATGGCGGAAAAAGCGAGAAGAGCGTGCATGACATAAGGAGTGGTGGCACCGATCTGGAGAAGTGTCGGAATGTGTCGAGTCCAGAGCGTAAAGTTGTTGGCATCCATGGCAGCAAGCTGCTGGTAGAGCGCAGCGAGGTGATAGATGAGGCGGAGATCGTGGACAGAGTAGTGCTGTGCGATGGGAGCCGGGTAGAGACCGAGGGAAGGGAAAGGGAAAACACCAGTGCGGTGCCACTCGGCAATGTCGGCCTCGATCTGAGGCGTCCACATGAGATCAGGCTTGTCGGGGGTGGCAGAGCGCTCGGGTTCGGGAGTAACCTGCATGTCATTGTAGGGGCAGCGAATCTTGTGCTTGGTGCAGTTGCGGCACTGAGGGAAACTCTCGTCGCAGCGAATATGACGGCGTTTGCAGGTTTCACAGCCCTTGCGAGACTTGGTGTGGGAGCGGCGAGGAGGACCACCACCGGGACCGGCCATTGTGTCGAAGACGAAGGGTTTGGAAGGGAAACCTGTCATTGTCAGCAAAGTAGTGTAAAAGGCGGGAGAAGACAGAATAACGCACGCAAGTATTACGCCACAGGCAACAAAGCCGTGGTAGAGAAGCGAAAGTGGTGAAAGCGGACTAGACGTATTAAACGTGCAGGACCGGGAGTGTCGGAGCAAATAGACACGGAGAAAGGAAAATCGACAAGATAGTAAAGCACCAAGGGGTCGAGGTTTTGGAAACAAGGTCTCTGAACTAGTTGCGATACTGCAAGAGAGAATCCAGTTGCTTGCAGAAAAGAGGTAGCGATCGTAAGTGACTTGAAGTCGGTTGTTGCGGGTGTGGAGTCAACGTATCCAAAAAGCCAATGGTGGAGGGCCAAGAACAGTTGTCCAGGAGGATATTGGTCGAATAGAGACAAGGTTACAGGAAGTTGAATATTTAGAGGTGCATCTAGAGGGTGCGGCAAGAGACGGACACCAGGTAGTCTTGGGGTGGCGTATTTCCTGCGACGACGGAATTGGCCTTATTGCTCTTTGGGTGCGAGAATGACTCGATTGCGTGGCAGATTGGCAAGCGAGTGTATTTTCGAGGCGGCGAAGATGCTGTAGCGAGTCGTTTTGAAGAGGGTCGTTGTTCAAGACGGCGGCAGCGGAGACGAGGATGGTTGGGCGTCTGAGGATGGGCAACAAGCGCAGACAACAAAACAAGACACTGATAAGCGAATGACAGGAGTCACGAGGACTTCCTAAGAGCGAGGGTAGGAGTAGCGAAGGTGGGAAGAAAAAGCGAGGTCTGAAGCAGACGAGGAGGTTGATGATGGATATGGTGAGATGTAAGGTGAGGTTGGAGGAAGAGGATGGGGGGACGAGGATTGTTAAATAGAAAGAGTGGAGGAGGAGGGTTGTGGATGGTGGACTTTTTGGTGGGAGTGGCTTGAGTGGAGGGTGCTGGCAGCGGGCGGGGGCTACCTACTGCCCTCGGAGGCTGTTGGGTGTTGTCTGGTCGTGGGTGGCCAGTCCAGATACCTACAGATTTGGGTAGAGAAGAGCTAATCGAAAAGTTAAAAATACTGCCACCGACGAGCAGGTAGCAAGAGAGAGCTACAACAGCAACGGACATGCGGACAGAACGGGAGTCTTGGCCGGTCAGTTGGGAATTCCAACGGTGGTACTTGTACAGCGGGCAGGCGACGAAATCGAAAGTTGTATTACTGGTTCATCAGCTTGTGGCAGGTCAGTCTGTTCAGGTAAGACTGGCTGTTGCAAGAGCACCTGGCAACAAGCTGCAGGGCCCGCTGATGCGCTGTCGTACCTGTGCAGGCTACAGGCTGCTTGCTTCTGCCGCTCCTTCAGCGGACCCCGAGCTAACAAAAAGGCCCAGTGACGACAGGCATTAACCACTGGGCAGCCAGCCAGCCTGCCCTGCCCGGCCCTGCCTGCCCTGCCTGCCCTGCCTGCCCTGCCTGCCCAGTAAGGTCATGCTAGTTAGCTAGAGGTACAGTAGGGCGTATTTTTAGCAACGGATTTTTGCAGAGGAGGGGTGTGTGTGCGCTCTTCAGGCTGTGGAGCCGACCTTCTCGTTGGCGGAGACTATCAGTTAGCCTATAACAAAATAAAGTGAATTAATTAGCAGGTATGACCAGAAAAAAACAGCAGTCCCCTCTGTCTCACCGACAGGGCACGCACCCGGTCGAGTGGTCCTTTTGCAACAGGCGCGACAAGGGCACAGCAAGCACACACCCAGGCAGCATCGGCCAAGACCACCGCGTCTCCAAAATAGAACTGGACAGTGGACATCGAGAAAAATAGCATCCAAAACGACTCATGTATTATTCTTGTCGGGTTTCATTACTCTGCGCTCCCAAGATGAGCTCTATCTTTGTGTGAGCATCTGTGCCTCCAGTTCCATTCCTCTTGTTTGTCGAGGTGAGGGAGCATTTATCTGTACTACGTTTCTGCATACCTCGAACCATGTCTCACCGGGCTTCATATAGTAAGCGAACTCGTCGGAGTTGCTGGGGGCTTGTAACTTGTGAGAAACACGGCTCCGTTTAACCCGCCTCTACTGGTACCGTCTTCTCAGGCTCGGCTTGCCTCCGGCGTGTTTCCAAGAATAACCTACAATAGAAATCTCGTGAAATTACAACTAGAACAAAAGAACAAGCATCCGAACAAAAAAGAGGGCCCTTTCTTATTTTATTTGACCCTTCGCCATATCATATTTTAGCCCTTGTCAGTGTCTATTAGTTGGTTAACCAGTGTACCCAGTACTCCGAATGACGCACATGTCCAACCAACCTACCTAGCGGGTCAAACTCTCCCAAGCCCGCACGCTAACTTCTCCAACTCGACTCTTAGTACCCAGGTCAGTCTAGCCCAGCTTGGGCTAGCGCATTTGGTTCCCGAGCAGAAGCACGCAGACGAGATAAAAATAACTTTTTGCACCAGCATCACCTCTCACCACCACAGCCGACCATTGTCAACACCACCATTACCCAAGATAGGCAACCGACAAACGCCATCTCCAATTCCAACTCCAACTCCAACTCAAATCCCAACCAGGTGGCTCGAGTCTGCACCCGATCGGCCCACCATCCTGCCCGTTTGCTCACTCTCGGCCGGGTTTCTTTGCTGGCGATTGATTCCCTACCGCCGCATTTTGGCCCGCTCATTGCTTCCATCTACGTTTCTCCGCCTTGATCAGTCCGCGGAGGAGTACTACATTCTCTACTCACCATCATCTAAGAGCCGCTGTACGCATGGGGCTTTCCTCAGATGCATGGGACGTCAGTCCACTCGCTAACACTTTTTTGTAGCCCCATTCGATTACCCTTTCACTTTTGTCTGTCGATCATCATCAACCTGGAAGAGTCCTTTCACCATCCCGTGACGATTTCTAGTTCAAATTGCCGGCCTCTACCAACGTTGGGGTTCCTCTTCCCATTCTCACACAGCTACTATGTTCGGAAGATCCTACGTATACAAACATTGTACACGCTCGGGTAGTCACAGCACCGACTAATACCTCACCAATGACTACATATAAAAGCCATCCCAACTTACACGCGGCGATGCCTCTCCCACCACGTTGGATACATGCCGTAATCTTCCCCACCGTATTGGTGCTTTTTCAAGCTACGCACGACCAGTCCACCCCGCGCACTCTCTTTCGAGTCTTCCAGGCTTTGGCATCACAGATGCAAGAGCAGGGTGTCAAGGGCGGGCTCTCTACCACAAGCGAGAGTCTCAAAAGGGGGGCAGGAACTTTGTCACTTACAGTGCTTTTAGGCTTTTGGAGCGCGTCTAATTGGTGACAGACTAAACCTTAGTTCTTCTCGTATCGACGAGAATGGAGGGTCAGACATGCTGCGCCTCCGCATGGCCTTAATTCATTTTGATCGTGAGATCCTTCATCCAAATGGAGGCTCCAAAAAGGTTCAGGGTCGAAAAGGAAGAACTAACCAAAACCAACCTTTAGTTGGCACATACCAGTCCCCTAATCGATGGTAGTTTCCAGCGTTGGTCGCATTGGTCCCCGTGACCAGCCAAGAATGAAGCATGGGGGTGCTAGGGAACCGTCAACACCCTATATATTCTTACCCCCAGCGGTAAAAGCAGCTCAGGCGGGGATCGACTAGCGGGAAGCCGGACGACTGAGCTGCCAACTCTTTTAGGTTGCCCGCGGCCCACGCAGGACCGGTAATAGCAGCCACTCCTAGACGCGCTTTTCGTCATGCCAAGCCTTTCTCTTCTTCTGGTGCAGTGGAAATGAGGAGGCGAATCAACGGCAAAAAAGGTCCTTCGGCCGAACCATGCCAGCATCTCCGGTGGCGACAACAAATTGTCCCCGAAACCTCTGCAGCTGCCGATTTCTCTGGCAGTCAGCTATTTACTGCGCATTGCAAAATGCACGGCATTGTGTTTTGGTTTTCGGGCATCAGTCTCGAAAGCGTAATGAGCACGGCAACAGGACCTTATAGCATAGACTGATATCGGACTACATACGTATGGCCCTGTCCGCTGGGCCTGAACGTGCCCACTAGCGGAGGGGGCGGGCGGAATTCTGGCGCGAGGAATGTCCATTTCTGATTATTCTCATTTTTCCCCATGTCTCCGTCCATCAGGCCTGGGAACCCGTGGGCTGGGACGGCCGGCGAGGCGACTGCGGCTCTCCTGTTCGCTGCCCCACGCGGCACACCGAAGCTGTTGATCCAAAAATAGATCAACCATACAACACACTCACTCAAAAAGGGACACAGCATACGCTCGCACAACACACACACACACACACACACACACACTTACACACGCGGTACCACCAGCGTGGCAGACAACAAGCAGATCGGTCTGCACACCAAGCTCATCACGGAAACGCTCTTTGGGTTAAGTTGTGGCCTAGATGGGTTGGCCGCCTCGCCTCAGCAACCAGCTGCACGCACGCGGCACGCTACCATCGACTCAGAACCTTTCTAGTCTGCCGTGTCTCCGTCTTGGCTGATGAAATATCAGATTTTGCTTGCTGATCCCAACAATAACCTCCGCGGCTGCCCGCTCCCCGTCTGACAACCCAGCAAACAGCGGACTCGGAAGCGGAGCGGGATGGCCACCGACCGGCCAAGAACGGGGAGGAGGGGCTCTATTACAAGTGGGCAATGGCCAGTCATCAACCCTGATATACCAGAGCACAATAAACTGGTCCAGCAGGCTCCGCTACTGCACATGCCGTCGAAATGTCGTGCGATCCAGGACCTTTTCCACCAGCACTTCGGTGCTTTGCCCGACCCGCCTTATTCAGTATCGTCAACAGACTAGGAAAGCCTTTCAGGTCCCCAGTCTTGAAGAATCCAATCTAATTTTTAATTGAGCAAAGGGAAACCGCCAAAGCTCTATCGATATGATTCGAGATTTCGAGCCACACAGCACTTGACATCAGGCGTGTGTTAACTAGTGCGATGCACTAAAAGCTAGTGAACTCACCAAATCCTGAAATC